TACCTGGAGGTTATTTTTCAAAGGTTGTTTTCAAATAAATACCTGGAGGTTATTTTTCAAAGTTGAATCAGAATCAAGTTTTGGGTCAGGAGGGTTAATTTTGTCTGAGACTGTGACTCAGGCCCACCCTTTTGAGTTCTATAAGCATGCTTGGAGATTGGTGAATTTGTTCAGCGGCATCCCTCCCCATGCAAAGTGATGGCAATTGGAAATGCTCACCACAGTGTGTCACCACAGCTGATGCTGCACCACAACTTGAGCATTTCTCCCCAAGCCAGATCCAGGAATTTTTCTTTTGGCCATCGATTTTTTACAGCACCTGCAGATTTTTGTTTTTGCTCCAAAGATCATCATCTTGCTTTGAAGTCTCCTGACTGAGTTATGTCTAACCTCATCCTGTGGAGGCAAGAGACTGAATAATTACTTTATGAGTGCCATATTAAAAGCAGTCCAAAGACTATTTATGCTGCTCATTAAAGTCATTGGGAATTTGGCTGGGCCATAGCTCCCTGCTTTGGTCATGCAATAGGGAGAGGAAAGCTTTCCAAAAATTGTTATTTCATAATTACTTGTGCTGTGGTGCCACAAGAGGATTTGATTATCACCCTTCCATGTTTAAAACTTAGATTCCACAAATCAGTACCCTCAGTATCACCAGTGTTTGTCCTCCAAAGCATTGATTAACTCCCAGTTTTCAAATGGAAATAAGCAAAAGGTATCAGAAAAAATAAAAGAAAAAGAAAAGAAAAAAGCCTGACAGAGAATAAAAAGTTTGTTTTTAAAGTCGAAATTATTAGAACTGAAGTTAAAATTGTAGTATAGAGTATGGAGTATATAAAATTAGGCGCTTAGTTAGGATAAAGTTTTCGAAATTCTGAATTATACCCCTTACTGCCTCTTGCAGTACCAAGGACTAAGATCTTGGGGCCTCTAAAGTCATCAGGTTTTTGATACTGAATGAGGACTACAATTTTAATATTTTTTTTTTTTTTGTACACTGACAAATTTGATCCTGCTGCACACTACCAAAACAGAGCAAATGTCCTGACTGCAGACTGCGCTGCTGCCAACAGAGAAACAGGAAATCTCATGGACACTCACACTTGGAGCAACAAATCCACTGGGTTGGGTGTGCTCCCTTGTCAGACAGGAGGAGAAGACACTCAAAGGCTCAAGCTTTTGGCACTGGATTGTTAGCATCAAAATAGAGAGAAACTCTCCATTTCTGTGCCTCCTTCTTCCTTGAACAGAAAGATGTTTGTGTTTATCTTTAAGGCTAGGCATTCTGAATTAGTGTCAAACCAATGTATGATATCAGGCTCCATTTTTTTTTTAAATACATCTAGAAACCAGACTGGAAATGAGATGTTTGCATGTTATTCTCTGTGGCTGTGCTTGGAATGGGGGTGGTTCTCCTTTAAAGAACCGCTCAGGAGCTCAGACATCCGGGCAGCTGAGCATCAATTAGCAGGATGCATTGCTGAGTGTGAGCTGCCTGGAAATGCAGAGGGACAAATCAGAGCATTGAGAGGTTTCCACCATCATTTTGCCTTCCTGCCTCTAACTACAAATCAGCTTCATTGTGACTCACAGCGTAAGGAGTTGGTGCATTTCTGCAGATCCGTGATAAGATATTTTTCTTTAGTAAGAAATGCAGTTAGACTCTGCATTCTGAATCTGTTCCTGCCAGGCCCTAGATGCATTAGTATTCCACTGGCAGCTGCCTGTAGGTAGGAATATTGTTTTTGTCCATAACCAGAGGGAACAATCAGACTAAGCCGTTCCCCAGCTATAAACCAGCCAAAGTAATTGGGTTTAATTTTAATTTTTGTAATAGCTTTAAATTAATAGGAGCAGCTGCTGCCACAGTGTGTGGGTGTCCTTTTCCAGAAGGCATAGAACAAAAAAGGGAAAGAGTAAACAATAGTGTGTCTAGGACACAAAGGTTAATTCAAGAACTGAGCAATGTCTTTTCGTTATCAAAAACTCAGTTGGTGATATCTAGCACTTTGTCTCTTTTCTTTCCTTTTCTTTCCCTTTTTTCTTTTCTTCTTTAATTCCCTGATAAGATCTCAATCTGATTAAGCTCCTGTGTGTAAAGATGTGTTGATGGTATCTAAATGCTAACTCTCTTTCTCTGTATGACTCACAAATAGATTAGCAGTGACAAAGTGCTAGGAGAGATAAAAATAGATTAGCAGTGACAGGAGTACTATTATAATTATTTTTGGAAGATATGGTTTGAATTAAGAGTTTGGGCACTTTTTGCCCTGAGAGGGTGAATTTAAACCTAGGAACTGAGGATGGTTTCTGCTGTTGTGTCAGACACCAGATAGTGAAATGTCAATACCAGATGTCCTAGACATCAAGATTAGCCATAATAGCCAAATGCAGCCATAAAGTGATGTGTCAAAGTGGATAATAAAACAGATGCTTAGCTTTTATAATGAAGGGGAAAGGGAATGAAATATCAAAAGTGCCTTTAATACATTAACAAAGTTGTCTTCAACTTGCTTAAAAGTAGAAAGTTATTGAACCAAGGAGAACTATGTGTCATTTAAACATTAACTATCGGCAGATGAATTTCAATTAGCATTAGCCTTTCTCAAATCCTGAATTTCCTCCTATTGGTCTCATTTTACATGAAATTTTTATAGCACAAAGTGAGGCTTGTCCTTTATTATTTTCCCCATGCTAATTTGGAAACAAATAAAGTTCAACAACTCAGCAACACACTGTTTAAACTTGCATTACGGTTTGAGGACTGGGAGCTGGAATACATTTACCCACTGCCATATCATCTGCTTGATTTGAGATCAAATGAGGGATGTCCTATAGCACTCCAGAGTCAGGGAGAATGATAGAAATATGTTAAGATACTGAAGAAAACCATTAGGTAAGAGGGCTGCATGCAGATGGCTGCTGGCATTTTTTCCCTACTGATACTTTTTTAAAAAGAATAAAAGGTTTGTTTTTCTGTCTTTTATATTCGTGTGTTAAATAGAATTTCCAGATCTTAGTGGGCAAATGTCTTATTTAACAAAAAAAAAATCTTTAAATCATAGATTTCATTAGGTTGGAAAAGTTCTTTAATATCATTGAGTACAAATTTATCCTGGCACTGCCAATGCTGCCCCTAAAATACATCCCCAGGTGCCACATCTACACATCCTTTAAATACCTCCAGGAACAGTGACTCTACCACATGCCCTGACAGCTTCCTCCAGTGCTTGACAACCTTTCCATTGAAGAAATATTTCCTAATATCCAATCTCAATTTGAGCTGTGGCCCCACAGTGCCACCACTTTGGGGCCAATCACAGGGAGACAGTCACTGCTGTCACAACCATTGCTGGGACAAGCCAGGTGCCCCTGTCCTTCCTGCCCACCTGGGCACAGCTGGCTCATGTTCAGTCATGATGTTGAAGTTGTTGAGGTCCTGAATGTTCAAGAAGCAGGGCATTAAAAAGGGCAGATAAATTCTTTTCCTGACTGTAATTAACTGCATCACTGGTTCTTTATTTTGCTTTCTCAAGAAGGTCTCAATTCCTTTCTGTTTCTCTTTGCAGATCCTGAGTCTTGTTGGTCAGACTCGTTAACTGTTGCTAATTGGCAAACATGTACCCATGTATAATGAGAGGGTTTTGTCCTCTAATTCAGATTAACAATGAGAGGCCAAAACTGAGGCTCTGCAGCAGACCATCTTCTCAGAATGATTACAAAGATTACTGGTGCTATGTCTGTAAATCTTGTTATGCTTCTCCCTCACCATGATCCCAGTTGAGCTGAGATCTGCTTCAATCATTAGATGAGACCTGTTTATAAGGTTGTGTAATTGAATCAGGTAAAGTCTGCAGGACCATAGCATTTTGTTGCCAAACATGACTGGTAAGTTACTTACATCAAATTACAAGTGCATGGCATGACTGGAGATTCTTCCTGTCTGAGTGTAGTTGGAAATTCCACCTAAGAAATGAACAAAGCATACAAGCAGAAATAGTAAACATCTCCCATCTATAGAACAAATTTTTGCCCCACCTCTGAAATATTACTTATTTCTCTTGAAAAGTAAGAAAATAACTTGAGCTGTGTGAGAGATTGCAGGCAGATATTTGTTATTCCTCAAAGAGATACCACCTTGATAACAATTACATAAATGTCTTTATTATAATTATTTACCATCGTGTACATTCATTTCTATCTTGTCAGATAAACCAGAAATGTTGAGGAGAGCAGCAGTCCAATTTGAAATGGGAACAAATACAACAAAGGAATTCTTCTTTGCTTTCTGTTTTAAGACCTGGTTATTTCCCATGCCTGAAGTTTTCTTGTATGATTTTTAGGTTGTTTGTTGTTTGTTTGTTTTTTAACCTCAAGAATTTACTTTTGTTCCATTCATTGGCTAGATGTTGATAAGGATATCTATATAAAAAGTTGTTCTGAATTTCAGGAATAGTTTTGTCAGTGTTGCCTTATGCTGACATTCCTTCATTAGTTGTCCCTCCTCTCTGTGCTGGTGAATCGAACCTGTAAGAGAGTTGTAGGTTTGGCTGGAGCCTGTCTGTGAGTTATGAGTGGTGTGAGGCTGCAGCAGCCTGATAGTGAAGTAAAGGATATTTGGACAGCCTGTGCATCCTTTCCACTTTGTGGGAATGGGTTTCCCTGGCTGTATGATGCTCTCCCTGCTCCGGTGGCTCTGCCAGCCCGGGCACCGGGCAGGGCTGCACTCCCAGTGGTGACAGTGGCACTGGAGCTGTCACAGCCCTGCTCTGCACAGGTGCTCCCAAATACAGGCTCTGGGATCTCCTCACCAGCTCCTGAGCTGCTCAAGCTGCTCCACTTCATTTACTTTGGAGGGAATCTGAATCTCACTCAGATGAGATCTCTTATGTCCATGTTGATATGCATCAATTCGTACATATTGAGTTTCCTATGGTGGCATAAAACTCGGAGGAAAAAATTAACTTACAGACGTGTTTTGGTTTGTTTTTGTTTTTCAGGCAAAGAATCCCCTCCAAAAACGTGTATTACTACCGCTGCCCAGACCACAGGAAGAACTATGTCATGTCCTTTGCTTTCTGCTTCGACCGAGAGGACGACACCTACCAGTTTGCCTACTGCTACCCCTACACCTACACTCGCCTGCAGCACTACCTGGACAACCTCCAGAGGAGGAACATGGACTACTTCTGCAGGGAATTACTGGGGCTCAGCGTGGTAAGTACCAGCAGGCTTCCTTATGGATGTCTATCCACCCTAAAATGCTTCCAGAGCATCATTCAGAGTCCTTGCTAAAGCACCCACATACACAGATTTGTTTTCTTGCTATCAATGACACAGGAGGAAGTGGATCTGCATGGTGGAGTATAGGCAAATGCTAATTTAATTTCACATAAAATATTTCCTTTGAGATAGTCAAGCCAATGCTGGATTCCTGTGTAGGATCATTTCACCTCTAAAGAAATTAAAATATGAAACTCAAACAGCTTTATTGAAGAAATGTGATTTTAAGAGTACTCTGACCATTTCTCTTGCTGGAAGTGCTTTTCTGTTCAGAAAGAAATATGGGGCTTTTGACCCAGAAGACAACTTTTCTTGATAAAATAATGCAAAACATGCACAAACCAGCTATTTTCTTTTCTCTTAAAAATTCGTGCTTTGGTCATTTGCAATTAGAAGGGATTTAGTGGTCTCTGTGTAGATCCTAATGGCCACATAAAATGAAGTGTCATAGTTCTTCGGGAGCAGAAAGGAGAGTTAATGGTAGGGTTGAACTTCTGTTCACTTTGCTATAATCTTCCTCTGAAATGTTGACTGTCCAGGGGATTTGGCAAGCATGACTCAGCCACTCCCATGTCAACTCAGAAATCATCAGATTAAAAAATAATAGCTCTAATCTCTTTTCTCTGTTTTTTTTTTTTTTAACTTTTGCTTTCTCAGACTTTATAATGCACTTGTATCACACTCTTAGTCTTTTATCTGCGATTTGATTTTGGTTGAAACTTGTAGTGGGTCTTTCAGAATCAGAAAGTTTTGAAGGCTGCTGATACTAGCAGCAGGGGCTTTGAAAAGAAACCCAGCATATATTGTGAACATCAAAATGAAATCATATGTATGTCCTGCACTGAAACAAATGAAAGGCTTCAATCATTAAAGCAGGCCATTGAAATTCCTATGGTGGCATTAAACTTGGAGAAAAAAATTAACTTACAGACAAGAGCAAAATCAGAATTAAAAAAGAAGTAATTTTTTAACCCTTTTTGTAGGTTAACTACAGTTCTTGTTCTAAAGATGACTATTGCATATCCATGAACTGGCATTAATTATTAATCATTCCAATTAGGGGGACAAACAATTATAAGGGAAAGGGGTATTAAAAAATAGAAAAGTAAAATCTGCAGAGGCTGGGTGGAAAGAGCACTATCATCTTAATGTGTGTAGGGCTTTAATTATTAATCTTAGAGGACAGAGCTGTCATTAATTCTATAATGAAACTGAATTTGTTTCCTTTCACTCTGAAACTAGTGTATAAACAGTCTCATTTGCATATTCATAAAATCTCTGATCTGACTGACTAAAACACAGAGATTGAAGGATTTGTCTTTTATCTGCATTTTGACAGACAGAGCTATACTCTTAAATCTTGTTAACATTGTGTTACCAGTAGTTGCTAAATATTATTTTTCATATTTCAACATGCTAAACAAACAGATGCCACTCAAAATGTGGCAGGAAATGTGCTGTGTATAAGTCCTGCTTTTATATCTATATGTACACACACAGTATGTTTTGCAGAAATTGATATGGTAACATTTTGCAGCTCCCCAAGCTGTATAAAAAAGCTTCTGAATCAGGCTCATGCTGTAATCTTTGTGAGCAACATTACAATCTCAGAGCATTTCTGGCTTTTCTCCACACACAACTGTCCTAGAACAGCTTGGTAATTTAATGTCTTTGCTGAGCTTGAATAGACAATTTCCATAAGTTCTCTGCAAGTTAAATATTTTAACATAGAGCTTTGTTGCTATCATACATCTTTAAATGGTGAAAAACAGGATCCTTCATTCTTCACTGCACAGTGCTCCATAAAAGCAGAAGCTGGCTGTACTTTGGAGGATTGCGTGCCATATAGGATAGATTTAGAGCTGAGAAGGAGAGCTCTGTCTCTGCCCTGGCCCCTTATGTAAGATAAGAGGAATCAGATTGGCATAAAGAGGCCCTCAGAAGCTCTATTCCTGGCCAAGGGACGATACCCCTGGCAGCACATGGGGAAAGGTATTTTAAAGGTGCCATCTGAGGACAAACTCTGTTTGATTCCTCATGCTGGGCACAGGCTGAGGAGGGAGAACATGGAAGGGGAAGCTGCAGCACATCTGTCCAGCTGCCACGCAGCTGCTGGTCCCCTCGGGTTCATCCCAGGGGAATCTCACAGCCCCCTGCTGCAGTCTGTGATTGGGAGGATGGGGAAGTGTTTGTAATTTCACTTCTCCTGGATTAGGTGGTTTTGAGCTGTGTCTCTTGGAGATGGCAAAATCTCACCACAGATCTTTGGATCTCTTTGGGGTTTTTTTTTTTTTTTCCTTTGTTGCGGAAAAGTAAAACTCAAGTCGCAAGAAGCCATGCCTAGAGGATTACTCCTGGAGGCTTTCTGAGTGCACATTTGGCTGCATATAATGTTTTCAAGGCAATCTAATTTCTAATCTAATTTCATGTCTTCTCTAAAGAAGGTACTCTGCCTCTGTTAACTCCTGAAATACTATCACTAATTCTATGAAAATTGAAAGTGAAATATCGGTATGGGACATGTAATTGTCATTAGGATGGAGAATGACAAAATGGTTCAGAGCCAAATGGCAAAGTTTCCCATTCCCATTTAAATGGATAACTTAGCTGTACTATTTCTGACCTTTTAATGCTTATATTCTTTACTTCAGAGAGCTATCCCACATTCTAGATGTGCCAAATGTTCTTGAAAATAGTCTCTCCTGCAAGTGCTGAGATGGTCACCCAGGTACCATTTAAACTGCTATTTTCATTCTGCTGTTATTGGCCTTGGATAACTTCAGATATTTTTTGGTTTGCCCCAACAGATCAGAAGTCCAAAATCTGTGAGCACTTTTTTGAATTGTGGAATTACTTTTTTGCATATTATTGATATGTATCTCCTCTCAGCAAATATAATACAATATTTCACAGCACTACATAATTAAAAACAAATTTTTATATTTCTGTGAAAATATAAGCACAGACATATTTTATATTTACAGTACCTATTTTATGATATTTATTCAGTTTCACATACAATGAATATGTGTGTAGCATTATAACCAATTTTTCAGAGTTGGCAAAATTTTGGAGTGTGTTGTCATTTGAAGCTGGTAGTTCAAATTGCCTGTGTGTGCTTGAAGTGTGTGGACAATTGATGGGATCTTTACCTCCACCACTATTCCACGGACATACATAATAAATTAAATGAGTTTTGGACAGCCTGGCTCAACTCCTACAGCCCACTTTACAAATTGACACTGGCTGGGCATTATTTTCATTACTCACTCCAAAGAGAACCAGGATTAATCAGAGCCAGATACTTCCTTTCACTCCATTAGGCAATGGTGCTTCCAAATTACACTCGAGGAGAATTGTGACTGCACATGCAAACCACGAGCCTCAAAGGGACTCCCACAGTACACAGAGACTGGAATATGGAGTTCTGTTAAATTAAATATTAAACACACATATTTTAAAACAAGGAGGCAATATGTCTAATGTAGGGCTCTGTAAATGAGCCCATCTCTTAAGTCAGATATGGAACACTGAAAGACGGACTGGGACACAGAGTGCTTCCTCCTGACTCCACACCACTTTGGCTTTTAATTTACATGAGTTGCTCCTGATTCATGCTGGTACCAGAGAGAAGCAGAATGATGCCCTAAGACTGTGGAACTGCACACCAGATGTCACATTGCCGCTTGGTTGACCAAATTTCCTTTATTTACTGACTAAATGACTCCGTACCCCAGTAAAAATTCTTGATCGGTTCTGCCGTTTTCTGCTGGTCCATTTTTAACTGCTCAGTTATGAACGTTTTAAAGCATGAAGCAAAGAAAATAGGCAGTTTTTCTAAGGTTAAAATTCCCATTTCTGCATTCAACTCTGGGTTATGTAATAACAGCTCTGTAAAAGAAAAGTATACTCTTGGTCTTTGGAAAAAAAAATAGAAGTTAAAGGCTTCTGTGTAATGTAATGTACCTCTGAAATCCTGTTGGTGTCAGATACTGTATTTTCCAATGGATTTGACTGTAACTAGGTTGAAATGTCATGTAAATGTAATTTGTGGCAATTTAGTTGGCCTGAAAAAGGCCACAGAAATCGTGTTTAGGAAAAGTAAATCCCCTTTCTCATTTCTCAGTAGTTTAAAAGTGCAGCTGTGTATATGTTCAGGACACATTATCTTTCTGCAGTGGTGTATTTTTCACTCCTATAGTGCTGCTGTTCCCAAAACATTCGTAATGTGGATGTCATCCCAACACTGTATGTGAGATTTTAAATGTTCCTACAGCTATTTTCTTAGCTGGATTGGATATCAGCAGAAGTAGAGTTAGACCTAAAAATAACACCACCAGCAGTTCTTCCAAAATAAAATATGATTTATAGCATATAATAGCACAGCGTGCTACCAGGGAAATTATATAAATAACATGAAAAATTACAGGGGACTATTCTATACCATCAGTTTTAAGGAAAATGTCTTTGTTACAATTTTAAGGGAGTTCTGAGAGATAACCTGGTCTGTGGAAATCACAGAGTAGGATGGATAGGTGAAATGATGTTACTATTGAATGTTGCCCTCTGTCTGTAGGTACATACGTGGGTTCATGGTAAAAACAAGAAATACTTTGGTGCAAGTTGGCAGCAGTATATAGTTTTCGAAAAAAACAAACAATGAAACCATAATTTGCAGCTAATATCATGCAAGGTTACTAAGTGCATAAGCTGGTTATTTCTTAATTTACAGAAAGAACACTGTTTGATAAAGTAAAATAATTTCTAGAAGCATTTGCATTAGCTGCTCTTTATCTAATTATGAGTAAAAAAAATCTTAAATTGTGAAGAAGGATTCAAATCTTAAGTCCATTTTGCAGCTCACATTTTATAACTACTATTCTCCATTTAATAAAAACTCTTGGAAAAAGCACTTCACCAAAAAAGAAGCTTTG